AACTTTCACTCAGCCTAAGAGGAGCCTATCTACCAAAGGAAACCGTCAAAATCCCGGAGGAAATCGATAGACGCACTCGAGATCCAGAATAGAGCCGAACAGAGTGAACGCGGGACCGAGATGGGTATATTTCATTACTTCGGGATTAAGGAGGCAGGAATGAGTCATATTTATCACATTTCTAATTATGATTGGTGGGGAAGGGATAAGAATGATTAGCTGGAGTGCTAGCGTTTTCTAATTGGTTGGAGGAGAGAAGTTAAGGTGTTAACACCTCATTGGTGGAGAAACTCTATATAAGGTCCCTTAACCCTTAGCCCACCCCATTAGTTGCTACCTTAGGCGTGCTAGTGAGTGTGTGAGAGAGATAGGAAGAGAAAATAAAAGAGAGTGAGCCCGTGAGAGAAAAGAAGAGAGTTAGTTCGGTTTTAAAAAGAGAGTGGTCGGATCTGTGTTTTGAGTGAGTGAGCGGAGTGTTAAGTCTTAGATCTGAGTGTTGTATGGTCGTGAGTGCCTAGATATGAGGAGTTTGTAGAATATTTTGTCAGATCTGGTGAGTCCCGGTAGTGGTGGACTATTGCGGTTGCTGTTCGTGGGGCAGTGTAGATCTCAGATCTGCATTGTAGCATAACACTAGCCTCGGTAGAATAGGCTGTGTGCTTGTGTGTATGTGTGTGACTAACGTGTGATGCAGGGAAGCTCGGATATGTGTAGATCCAAGTGTATACTAACATTTTAGTGAAGGATCAGCCTCGGATCTGTTAGATCTGAGTGCTGTGAAACCCGTTGGGTGAGGTAACGGTTTGATGCATGTATGTGGGACATGTTATCATCCTTACCGAGTGGTGATAAGGGTGTAAGGACTGCTGGATCTCAGATCCACTTGCATGTTCCTTCACCAAATGAGCAATTGTACGGTTTATAGTAAAGCCCACTGCATGGCTGAAAGGTCATGTAAGTGGAGTTATAATGAACGTGCATGAGCGAGGTTCAAGCGTGAGGCTTGTAACCATAAACGAGAGTTGGGACTAGAGAAGTTCTGGCTTTGCCGTCACTCTAGGGCGCTAACTTCTCGGACGTTGTATGAAGGTGTGTTGGCGTTTGACAAGTGAGGATCAACGCGGTGTGAAGTATAATGGTGTGCGATCCATTATATTGGGGAGTCATGTTGATAGTGTATCCTTCATGACTTAGTGAAGGTGTGGTCGGAGTTCCCTGCTCCCCATGTTTAGCGACAGACTGCTAGATAGAAAGACTCAGAGGAGTAACGGACCTTGCTAGCCTGGCTGAGTGCTATCTGACGGGATAGTCGGGAAACCAGCGAGGAGTCATGGTTGTCCAGCCCGGGATGTGAAATCACTTGGCGGCTCTCGGATGGAAACCCCACCGAGATGTGAACTGACCGAGGAGCTCCTAGGGTGAACCGATGTTCCGGCTTGGCTTGTCTATGTGATAGCCAAGTGCAGGGTGTCTGTGGTACTGATGTTCCGGCTTGACTTGTCTTTGTGATAGTCAAGTGTAGGTTGTTCGCAGAGGGGAACTGGCCGACCCACTTAGAGATATCTGTGTCCACGCGAGTTTGACGTGTGGTGTGTGGTAGTGTGAGTGCATTCTGAGAACGTGGTTTTGTGCAGAAATGGTAGCACATTTGCATATAGATTAGCGCTTGCATATAGATCTAGGACTGCATGCTTTGGCTATTTACTTTATGTTGCTTTGGCTATTGCGTAATCGTTTGCTTGCTTGTTGATTGGGGGTTTTCTTGGGGTTTATATTGTTAGAGGGTCCTGGCCTCACAGAGTAATCTTAGATTACTCATCCCCTTTTTTTTCCGTCCTACAAGTAACCAGTAGATAGCCTTAGTAAGCGGAGCAGAACGTTAGGACACCAGAGTAGATTTGCGTTGGTTTTTGTAAAACTCGGTTGTGGGATAAAATATGTACTAGACGCCTTTTTGGGTTTACCCTCTGCTGCAGCGTTATATATATAGTTTGTAAGAACTAATTTTCGAGAATGATATGGTATTAAATTTTCAAACTTGGGCTTGCTTAATGATTTTAGTCTAGTCCGGACTAACACAACTCAAGATCGGGGTACAGTTTGAAAAACCTTAGGCCTTGGTCGAGAGGTTTCGAGCTAACTTGACAAAACAGCCTTATGCTTATATTCGTTCCAAGACTGACTGACTTATCAAGTGAACCTCGGCTTTGTGACATCCGCAGTTCGGCCTTGGATATAGATCGAATCGGGGGTGTTACAGCGGCGGCGACGAAGGAAGAAGACGGCGACAGAAATGGCGACAAAAATCCCCCAAACGGTGGTTATGAGTTCAGAGAAACTAGGGTTTGTGCAATAAAAAATAAATACTGCTCTTTGTGGTAAAATGGAATATATAGGCCGGTTAATAATGGGTTAGTAAAATTATTCGGTTCAGTCGGAGTGATTTTATTTTACTCAGACATAACCGGTCAAAGAAGTTTACTTTTGAGTCTAATCGGTCCGAGAAGTCTACTCGAGAAGTCTACTTTGGTTCGAGAAGTCTACTCGAGAAGTCTACTCGGGAAGTCTACTTAACCCTAAAACCTAAATCAAAATTTTTGATTAAAACTTATATGAAAACATTAATTTACTTACCATATTGACAAATCATTGTTAAAATAATAAATATTTGAACCATGATTCATTACTTGAACCATAAACTAGGATTCATATAGAATTTTTTCAGACCCTAAGAATTACACTCTTATACCTTAAACCCTAAACCTCAACCCTTACCCTTTTGAATTGTATACTCATGAAACTTATAAATTGATTCATTTTCATGAAATTTTATTTTATATAGATGTTAAATGTATATATTTTAGTTGTGTATATAATTGTTTTACCAAATTATTTTTCATGATTTTTTAATTAATGGTAAAGAAATTATTAGAGAGTAGACTTCTCCAAGATTTAGTTAAAATAACAAATATATGGTAAAGAAATTACGAAGAAGTCTACTCGAGAAGTCTACTCGAGAACCAGAGAAGTCTACTTAGTATTGATTTCTAACCTAATTTATCTACGATGATTTAAATTGATTAAAATTTTATTTTTAATAGGTGTAAAAAGTATATGTTTTTGTTATGTTCATAATTTTTTTACCAAATTAAATTTCATGATTTTTTAATTAATGTAAATAAATTATTAGAGAGTAGAGTCTACTCGAGAACCTGAGAAGTCTACTCGAGAAGTCTACTCGAGAAGTCTACTGGAGAAGTCTACTTGGTATTGATTTCTAACCTAATTTATGTATGATGATTTAAATTGATTATTTTGTGTCAAAATTTATTTTTAATATGTGTAAAAAGTATATATTTGTGTTATGTATCTAACTTTTTTATTAAATTATTTTCATAATTTTTAAAATTAATTGTATACAAATTATTAGAGAGTACAAATTATTAGAGAGTAGACTTCTATGAGATAAAACAGTAATTGAGGCTGATTTTTTTTTGTTTAGTCATAAGGGTTAAGGTTGTAATTTCACTATCCTTGTTAGTTATTTTTGTCAGGGGGTTTAGTTTTGTATTTTAACTCAAGTTTTGAGTCATATTCAGCAATTCCCCCTTAATTAAATTTATATGTTAGATGTATAACTATTTATTGGGTATATCACATTACAACAGATAATAAAATAAAATATAACACTTTTTAGTTTAATTAGATTTATATGTTAGATGTATAGTTATTTATTGGATATATACAAACTAGGTTATGCAAACATTTAATTTAATTTTTATATTTGTTATATAAATAAAAATAAAAGATCTAAAAGTTAAAGGACCAGTTTATAAAAAAAATATATATATCTCTATTTTAGAAGAAAAATAGAGTTCCTCCCAATATAGAGGAGAAAATAGCATTCTCTATTATAAAAAAAAAAATAGAGGTGGATTGGAGAGAATTTTCCCCCAAACTCTATTCTTTCCTTAAAATAGAAGTAGATTGGTGATGCTCTAAGACCATCTCCAACTTTATGTTATTTTCCACGCCAAACACTATTTATGCAATAAATTCTCTCTAACCTTACACTATTTTTCACTGCAAAATGGAGGGGTGAATAGTATTACGCTATATTTGGCGTGACACTGTTCATCACTCTATTTTTGAAGTGAAATTTTTTTATTTACAACATTAGTCATTTTAACTCTTATATATTATTATTTTATACTTAAATATATATTTTTCTTTCTTTTATACATTATATAGTAAAGGTAATTAATAAAAAGATATATTTTCTAATAATAAAATATATTTAAATTATATAATAACAAATAAACTTAAAAAAATATATGAAATTAAAAATACATATTTCATTTTAGAAGTTTCTTGCTAGATTTTGAGAAATCAAAAATAAAAAACTCATTTTTCGAAATGCATTAATCAATCATTTGTGGGACAAGTATGATTAAATCAAAATGTACTAGTTTTTATAAGTTGTTTTGTCATTTTATTTCAAAAGACCTGAACTAAAATAACAGTTTAATTTTATTGAATCTAGTCAACAAATAAAATTATTAGATTAAATTCATAATTTTAATAAATATAAGGGTAGAATTATAAATTTTATATATTAAAATAGAAAATGAATATACTTAGAATATTATATTTTCAGTAAAAATGGAATGGAGTTAGAGAAGAAATGTCATGGAAAATGCATTGATTTAAAAAGGGATTGGAAAATGGCATAGGGGTTGGAGATGCTCTCAGAATGTTGATTTTGTTCTCTTGAGTTAATCACTTAATCCTAAAATATCACACTCACTCACTACTCACACATGCAATTAGGGAACTTGGGAGTAATTTCATTAAAACTCAACCCAGATCAAACCGGTTGGTATGAATCGGTTAACATTTAGGAACTTTGGAGTAATTTCATTAAAACTCAACCCAGAATAAACCGGTTGGTATGAATCGGTTAACAAACTTTGTTAAAAAAAAAATAACCTAGCCTCTTAAAACTCTTTCAGAAACCCCGAGAAGCAGTATCGGAAAAAATGCTGCTCCGGTCGAATCGCACCGTCGAGCAGCTCCGCAGAATCTCCACTTCATCGGTTTCTGCGTATCTCACTTCTCCTTCCTCTTCACAACGTTGCAATGGTGTTCGAAGCTACCTACCACACAGAGTAGTAGCGACGGAGAGTGCTTTCTCTGTTCATATTTCTCGATTCTATTACTCTGTTTGCGTGAATCCGCGAAATGAGAATCAATACACGACAACATCATCACCGGTTTCTTCACGGAGGTTGATTAGCGTCAGAAATATGTCACGGCGGAGGAAGACCGGAAAAAGATCGCCGGCGACGGATGCGGCGTATTCTTCTGCTGTTGATTTGGCGCTGGACTCGGTGGTGAAGATCTTCACCGTTTCCACGAGCCCTAGTTACTTCCTTCCTTGGCAGAATAAGTCTCAACGAGAATCCATGGGCTCTGGTATTAATTACTCAGTCTTGAATCAATCTGTTTTCTACTTTGTTAGATAAAGCTTTAAAATTTTAAAATGTTTTAGAAGTATTTTTGCCAAAGTGATGATGGTTTAAGAAAGTAGGCAGATTTGGACTCCATAGTTGTAGTCTATAGTTTGTAGCATTTTAGAATTGCTTAATCATGAGATATTGGAGTGTTATTTGGTTATTTATATAGTTGACTAAGAGATGTTGTAGTGTTCTTGATCAGGAGTTTGTTGATGGTTTTAGAAGTTTTTGTTAATTACAGATTACCAAATTGTGATTGGTTTAAGAAAGTAGGCAGATTTAGACTCCATAGTTTTAGCCTACTATTTGTAGCATTTTAGATTTGCTTGATTATGAGATGTTGGAGTGTTATTTGGTTATTTATGAGATGTTAACTTGAGCGCTCTTGGTCATTTTAAGGTTGTGTTTTGCTGCTCTAACTTTGTATGGTTTGGTATGGATTGATGTAGGATTTGTAATATCGGGAAGAAGGATTATAACCAACGCGCACGTGGTGGCTGATCACTCCTTCGTGCTTGTGAGAAAGCACGGATCGCCTATAAAGCACAGAGCAAAAGTTCAAGCGGTTGGCCATGAATGTGATTTGGCGATTTTGGAAATCGACAGTGAAGTGTTTTGGGAAGGGATGAATCCGTTGGAGCTAGGAGACATACCTCTTCTTCAGGGAGAAGTGTTTGTAGTTGGATATCCTCAAGGTAATTCTCTGATGATAAATTTGAAATGTTTCTTGCATAGGTTTTAGGCAAATAGAGAAACATTGAAAATTGATTTTCAGTTGGTTTTGTTGAATGTATCTTCATAGGTAGGTGAAGACATGACATTCTGCTTCTAAACATTGAAATTTGGTTGTGATGCATTTAAAGAAATAGAAACTTTTATGTTCTCTACATATGTTGTATGATGTTTGATGATTAAATTTATTGTAGGGCTCCACATTCATAGAGTTTCTTTCATGGAAAGCAAAATACTTGAAATGTGGATGATCATGTGAATAGAATGTTTGTGATGTTTGGCTTAAGAGTTTCTTTTAAGACGATTTGAATATAAAAAAAAAAAAAAAAAAAAAAAAATCTGTAATGTCTTGGAGTCTTAATGGTTATGCGCTCTAGTGCAGGTGGTGACAACATATCTATTACAAAAGGTGTTGTGTCTCGAGTTGAACTCACGCAGTATGTTCACGGAGCCGCGCAGCTAATGGCTATACAAATAGACGCAGCGATTAACCCCGGAAATAGCGGTGGCCCGGCAATCATGGGAAACAAAGTAGCCGGCGTAGCGTTTCAAAACCTTTCAGGTGCTGAGAACATGGGGTGAGTCTATCTTGGATACTTGATACCTAAGGTTATGTAACATGTCTTGACAAGCCAATGTTTTAAACTAACATTTTTAGTCTCTGGTTTCAAATTGCAGCTATATAATCCCAACACCTGTGATTAATCATTTCATAACTGGTGTTGAAGAAAGCAGTAAATACATCGGTTTTTGCTCGATGGGTGTATCATGTCAGTCTATGGAGAATGCTCAAATCCGGAGTATATTCCAGATGAGTTCAGAGATGACTGGTGTTCTTATAAGCAAGATCAACCCTTTATCGGATGCTCATAGAATTTTGAAGAAAGATGATGTTATTCTCGCGTTTGATGGTGTTCCTATAGCAAATGATGGAACAGGTATGTTTTCCTTTTATCTCCATGAGCTTTAACACTGAATTTTCGCCTGATTTGCTGCTGAAAAAGTGTGTTTTTTCATGTAATTGAAGTTCATTTTCGGAGAAAGGAGCGGATAACTTTCGATCATTTAGTTTCTATGAAGAAACCAGATGAAACAGCTTTGGTTAAAGTCTTGAGAGAAGGAAAAGAACATGAGTTAGAAATGACTCTAAGACCTGTAAGTCATTTTGGTCTGATCGTTAAAGATATTACTAACTAAACGTTTGTTCATTTGTTCTTCTGAACTTAGTGGATTTTTGTTTCTTGCAGCTGCAACCTCTGGTTCCAGTGCATCAGTTCGACCAGCTTCCAAGTTATTACATATTTGCAGGCTTTGTATTCGTACCTCTCACTCAACCTTACCTTCATGAATATGGAGAAGATTGGTATAACATTTCTCCCCGCAGATTATGCGAGCGTGCATTAAGAGATTTACCCAAAAAAGCAGGTCAAGAAGTTGTCATTGTCTCTCAGGTTTGTGTGCTTTCCTTTTGCTTATTTCTTTCCTTGAAGTCTAGAAGAAATCTCACTATCCACTTTACCACAAATCAAGTTTTGTTCACTAAAGATGTTCTACCACAAATCTTCCTAATTGTTTGAATTTGTTTTGGGATACTATCCTCTAAATCAAGTTCTTTTTTATTATCCAACAATGAAACATCACACTAAAAAAATTTGCCTCTGGTTGATAGGTGTTAATGGATGATAGCAACACAGGATACGAGCGTCTTGCAGAGTTGCAAGTAAGTCTAATTTTAACTATATTTATATGAATCCAAGGCGCATGATGATTCATTAATATTAATAATATAATATTAATATGATTAATAACTAGTAATTTTTTTTTATTTCTGTTTATGAAATTTTGTTTATGTTTTAATTAAAAATAAACAAAATTCGAAAAATCTCTTCGTTTTTAAAATTATGACGTATCAAAAAATCCCGTAAGCTCAACATGAATCAGTAATCTTTGAACATAACAGAAAGCCATATGATTCTAAAAACGGCAAACTTGAAACAGGTGATGAAAGTGAATGGAGTGGAAGTTGATAATCTAAGACATTTATGTCAGCTCATAGAGAACTGCAACACAGAGAATCTGAGAATTGACTTGGACGATGGGAGAGTGCTCGGCTTGCACTACCAATCCGCAAGAGTTGCCACTTCTTTGATCTTAAAACGACACAGAATAGCGTCTGCAATGTCAAACGATTTGCTGATGGAACAGAATCCAGAAACTGAGTTGGCTTCTTGTTCTTCCGCGGTTTGAGCAAACGCCAATGCAAATCATATTGTTGTACACTTTAAATTGATTCATATTTGCAATTTGCGATTTGCAAACCACATTGTTGTATGTTCGTAAACATTTAGGATTTGAAAAGCAAGTTTTAAGTTAGGCATACAACTTTTCGTAGTTTCGTTATTGAAATATAGTTATAGGAAAGTATGATGCCTTTTACCCCAAAATACTGTATTTTCAATATTTTTTTGTTTTATAATGGATTTTTTTGTTGGAGATGTTTGAATGTATTTAATAAATTCGAGTTCTAAAATAAATAATTTCAAATGTTTAAGAGTTTGACTTTTTTTGTGTTTTACCCATTCTGAGTCTTGATAAAATATATATTTCAACTCCCAAGCTTGTTTAGAGTGGGCATGTGTAAAAAGATTAGATAAAGTGACAGGTAATTTTGTAAAGGCAAATAAACTATAAGAAAATAAATAATCAAAATCAGGTAATTAATAAACCCAAAAAAAACGATAAAATGTGTAGAAGTGAAGTAAGAACAAAATTGGTTTAGTGCGTAGAAGCCAAACATTTGTCTTTTGTTCCTTTCCATTACAAAACAAAACAAAATCCACAAAAATCCCTTTCCGTGTCTTCTGCGAACTGTCACATCCGTACGTGCAACGTATAAAGACGAAAATACCCTCCAAGACTTATTTGTCTCCCCTCTCTTTTGTAGTCTCTCTCAAGTCTTTAAGGTCGCTCTGGTTAACTCAGAATCGGAGAAAGAAGGTTTTTGTGATGTCGTCGCCGTGGGAGATGCAACTAGTGGAAACGGCTAAAGAGGAACTTGAGATTCTTCAGTGTCAATATCCCAACCGCTTCGCCTACCTCAAATCCGACCTTCAATCTTTCATTTCCGACCTCCGTGAAGATCACGCGCCGCCGTGTGCCTCCTCCTCTCCCCTCATCCTCACTCAAGGTACTTCTACAATCCTCTCGTCGATAGCATCTTTGTGCTTTCTGAGTTTTGCGTATATGGCTGATGATTAAATCCTGTTGAAAAAGAATTGCTTCTTAATGTAAAAATTGAAATGCTTTATTTCTCAATTATCTTTGCTTTTTGCTCACTACGAATTGCACATACATACACAAATAGTATATTCTACATATATGTATACTATATTGATGCAAATGCAGTTAATCTACTCGTGTTAATTGTTTTTGTTTTTTCTTCCAATATTATTATTATGTCGATTGAATTTCCCAGGCTAAAATTAAATTGATTGCGACAACACGTCTTCAATGAAATTTCGACAAGACAAAAATAGATTATTTAATCATTTTTCTTTTTTTTATGTTCAACATTTAATCGTTTTTCTGAACCTTTTATTTGGTCATGTTTTCTAGAAATCTTTACTCTGTTCATGACTTCAAGTTGTATAAGGTAAATCAATATAGAATATTTTCTGTTCCTTTTATCAACACACATTTGTTTGCAACTTCTCAATAGTGTCAGAATAAGTAGTCAAATAGTCTGATACGGGTTTAACGATATAGGGAAATGTATTTACGGTGCAGTGCGAGTGGATAATAACAGTATTTAGCATAATATGAAAATTTTGGTTTGGATTTTTACAACCGTAATTAACGTTTGGAATCTTTTAAATATATGGAAAAAAACAAGAATTGAAAAGTTTAATAGTTTTATACCTCTAGATTTCGGTACAAATATATGTTATTGTGTTAGCCGCCACTAAGTTGCTGTTAATGCATTGGATAGAGTCATCAAATTGTCCGAATAAGCAGAAACACAAGAAGAGAAAGTACACCGTAGACAAATTTGGAGACCAAGAACCGTCATCAACAGTAAAGATCCACAAGAACAACAACAAGATGGTTAAGAGAGTGGTTAAAAAGAGGAAAACTAGAGTTGAACTGGTTCTTGAAAGGGCTCAACTTTGTCTCCAGAAGATTAGAGACGTGAAAGCCTCTTTGTGTTAACCTTTTTTTACAACTTTTTCTTCTTCTTGTTTGGGTTGAACTGTAAGAAAAATAGTACGGACCAAGTAAAATGTTTTGTAAGTGATGGACTTTGAATCCTCCTCGAAACTAGGTCTAGTAGTTCAAAAAAATATACAACAGTCTCTTCTTTTCTCTCCATGAGAAAGAAAATTTCCATTTTTGAGTCTCCAAATTTCCTTATTTTTATTTTTCTTGGCACAACAAAAAAATTAAACATTTATGTTTATGAGCAACTGAAACTTAAAGCTTGACTAGGTGTGTTGTTCGGGCCTTGCGGAGGCCAAAGTACATTAATTCTAAATTTGATAATATTTGAAGAAAAATAAATATATATATATAACTATATAATATTATCTCATATTTGTTTAGATATATTTAACATTTACAGTTATGATATATTTTCCAATTTTCATACTAAATTTGTATATCTAATCTATAAAAATGTTAAAATTAAATACTCTCTACAAATAAATACCTCAGTAGATTTAACAACTTCTTTTAATGTATTTTTAAAGTTTTTAGACTTATTCATTTTTTAACTTTTGGTTTTCTTCTTCTTCCATGAATTATTCTTTCTCTTCATCATATTTGTCATCTCTTCAGACTTTTTCTCTTTTTTATTTTTATTTTGTCAATTATTCTTTTTTCGGTAAACTACAATACAGACAAATAATAATTCATCAAATGGCCACAACGTATAATGAACAATGCATATATGTTCAAATAAAAGAATCAGAGTGCGAATAACACATATATTTTGATTAACACACTCCAAAGGTAAATCACAAAAATTAACTTCAACTTGAAATCATCAACCTTAGCAACCAGAGGGTTCAGTATGAACTGGATAGGAAGCGTAGATGAAATGATAACATTCTTATCCCAAAGTTATAAAAACTAAATTAATCGCGATAATGCCATTAAAACAAAACCATTATATAATAATATAACACACATAACAATACCTTAATGAATATCGATGATATCCCATCTAATTACACAAATCACCACGCCGTTAGAACAGTTCATCCAATCAGCACAAATCTTATGCGCCATCGCATAAGACAACTTACAATTGAGACGAACACCACTGCCACCAAGAACAATAATTAGAAAAAAAAAAATCGAATAAAAACGGAGAATCAGGTACATATAACTTAGACAATAACTTTGCATCTGCAATTTCTCTCCTTTCTTTCTACCTCTATCACTCTCTATTATTCCTCTCGCTCTCGATGTCCTCCATCTATCTCTCGCTCTTTCTCTCCCTCTTGTTCTTGTTTTCGACTCTCTCTCTCTCTATCTATCTATCTATCTCTCTCTCTCTCTCTCTGATCTTATTTAAATAAAAATTTTAATTTCAACTCACCCACTTAATCACTTAAGAAGACTCCAAAAAAAACCTAACATATTATTCAAGATCAATTGATTGAAACAATATTTTGAGCATCAAGCTTTATTATTTTCTCTCTCCCTCTTTCTCTCATTTCAATTCTCCTCTACCTAAATACCTCAGTAGATTTATCAACTTCTTTTAATGTGTTTTTAGAGTTTTTAGACTCATTCATTTTTCCACTTTTGGTTTTCTTCTTCTTCCATGAATTATTCTTTCTCTCCATCATATTTGTCAAATGGCCACAACGTATAATGAACAATGCATATATGTTCAAATAAAAGAATCAGAGTGCGAATAACGCATATATTTTGATCAACACATTCCAAAGGTAAATCACAAAAATTAACCTCAACCTGAAATCATCAACCTCAGCAACCAGAGGGTTCAATATGAACTGGATAGGAAGCGTAGATGAAATAATAACATTCTTATCCCAAAGTTATAAAAACTAAATTAATCGCGATAATGCCATTAAAACAAAACTAGTATATAATAATATAACACACATAACAATACCTTAATGAATATCGATGATATCCCATCTAATTACACAAATCACCACGCCATTAGAACAACTCATCCAATCAGCATAAATCTTATCCGCCATCGCATAAGACAACTTACAATTGAGACGAACACCACTGCCACCAAGAACAATAATTAGAAAAAAAATCGAATAAAAACGGAGAATCAGGTACATATAACTTAGACAATAACTTTGCATCTGCAATTTCTCTCCTTTCTTTCTACCTCTATCACTCTCTATTATTCCTCTCGCTCTCGATGTCCTCCATTTATCTCTCGCTCTTTATCTCCCTCTTGTTCTTGTTTTCGACTCTCTCTCTCTCTCTCTCTCTCTCTGATCTTATTTAAATAAAAATCTTAATTTCAACTCACCCACTTAATCACTTAAGAAGACTCTAAAAAAAAACCTAACATATTATTCAAGATCAATTGATTGAAATAATATTTTGAGCATCAAGCCTTATTATTTTCTCTCTCCCTCTTTCTCTCTTTTCAATTCTCCTCTACCTATTTCCCTCTCCCTCCTCTCTCTCCTCTCTCTCCCCTTTCTCTTCCCCTCCCTCCCCTCCCTCCCTCCCCCTACCCCTCCCCCTTCTCTCTCTCTCTCTCTCTCTCTCTCTCTCTCTCTCTCTCTCTTTCTCTCTCTCCCTCTCTCTCTCTCTCTCATTAGTATTCTTGATCTCTCACTCTCAAGATTCATATTCTTGATCTACAAAAACATGTGACCGAAACTTTAACACATTTCATGATATCTCTAACTGTTTTATCCAAAGTCTTAAGAAAATGTTTGCAAATCCATCCCTACCTTCACTTCGGTTGGCTACATCTCTGCGATTGCCCAAAACACCTGATCCAGAACAGCAAATCACTGAGATGCTTAAAGTACTAAATAGACAACTCCAATAAAAGAGAAATAAGATCGCTTCTTCGAATCCCGTTATGACTAAAGAACATGGAATGTGAACATAGCACATACCCGGGGACATCTCGACGTTATCTTAGATGGCTAAATGAAAACATTTTCCAGAAACCCAAAAGATAAACAGAATCAAATCAAGAATGAAACATTCGACTATGTGGAAAACAAAAAAACCCGATTATAGAGCATAGGTGATTTACTGTACCTCGACTTTCTATTATGGAAAAGCTAATAATTCTTTGAACAAATGGAACAATGTTTTAGAAAATATGAATATCTTGAGTACCTCTTTGTTTAAGCAAAATCTATTTAGACTAACTAATTCTTTTATTAAACTTGTTTTAGAATTTAGAGAGATATTTAAAATCCCAATCTTTAAGAAATTAAGTGAATACTACCCAATCATTTCTCTAATATAATTTATCATTTAAAACAGATATGAAATTTTAGTGACTTTTTCCATACCCTAAACCCTAAACCTCAACCCTAACACTTTTGAATTGTATACTCATGAAACTTATAAATTAATTCATTTTCATGAAATTTTATTTTATATAGATGCTAATTGTATATATTTTAGCTGTGTATATAATTGTTTCACCAAAATATTTTTCATGATATTTTTAATTAATGGTAGAGAATTTATTAGAGAGTAGACTTCTCCAAAAAGTCTCCTCGAGAAACCTACTTATTATTTTGTGTCAAAATTTATTTTTAATAGGTGTAAAAAATATATATTTGTGTTATGTATGTACTTGTTTCACCAAATTATTTTTCATGATTTTTTTAATTAATGGTTAAAAAATTATTAGAAATTCTACTCTAGAAGTCTACTCGAGAAGTCTATTTAATATTGATTTCTAACCTAATTTATCTATGGTGATTTAAATTGATTGGTTTGTGTCAAATTTTATTTTTAATAGGTATAAAAAGTATATATTTATGTTATGTATATACTTGTTTTACCAAATTATTTTTTATGATTTTTTTTAATTAATGGTTAAAGAATTATTAGAGAGTAGACTTCTCCGAGAAGTCTACTTAGTATTGAGTTCTAACCTAATTTTTCTATGATGATTTAAATTGATTAGTTTGTGTCCAATTTTATTGTTAATAGGTGTAAAAAGTATATATTTATGTTATGTATATATTTGTTTTACCAAATTATTTTTCATGATTTTTTTTAATTAATGGTTAAGAAATTATTAGTTAGTAGACTTCTCCGAGAAATCTACTCAAGAAGTCTACTTAGTATTGATTTCTAACCTAATTTATCTATGATGATTTAAATTGATTGGTTTGTATCAAATTTTATTTTTAATAGGTGTAAAAAGTATATATTTATGTTATGTATATACTTGTTTTACCAACTTATTTTTCATGATTTTTTTAATTAATGGTTAAGAAATTATTATCTACTCGAGAAGTCTACTTAGTATTGATTTCTAACCTAATTTATCTATGTTGATTAAATTGATTTTTTGTGTCAAATTTTATTTTTAATAGGTATAAAAATTATATATTTATGTTATGTTTATACTTGTTTTATCAAATTATTTTTCATGATTCTTTTAATTAATGGTTAAGAAATTATTAGAGAGTAGACTTCTCGGAGAAGTCTACCCGAAAAGTCTACTCGAGAAGTATACTTAGTATTGATTTCGAACCTAATTTATCTATGATGATTTAAATTGATTGGTTTGTGTCAAATTTTATATTTAATAGGTGTAAAAAGTATATATTTATGTTATGTATATACTTGTTTTACCAAATTATTTTTCACAAATTTTTTAATTAAAAGTTAAGAAATTATTAGAGAGTAGACTTCTCTAGGATAAAACAGTAATTGAGGTTGACATTTTTTTGTTTTGTCATAAAAGTTAAGGTTGTAATTTCACTATCCTTAAAAGTTATTTTTGTCAAACATACAATAGGGGGTCTAGTTTTGCATTTCAACTCATGTTTTGAGTTATATTCAGTAATTCCCCATATAATATAATATATTTTAATTATAAAAAATATTTACAAAGTTGAAAAACTTCTATATGTTTTTTGAATTAAAATATATTAAATGCAAAATTATGTATATTTTGTTTGATTGCAAAGATTAATTAAGATTAAACTAAAAAATAAGATGAATAATATAAAAATATGTTTTCATCAAATAATATAACAAAATAATATGGAAACTTAATAACAATTTTATAATTAGAATATAATAATTTTACTTTTTCCTTATTATTCTGCTTATTCATTCTTCTTCTTTTCCACTTCTAAAACTTCAGAACAACTATATATGATCATTATAAAATACAAAGATATAATTATTTTTACAACTATCCACACTCTTCCGATTTTCTGTTGGAGGATTCTTTCATTCATCTGTCTCAATTTCTTTCTTTTTGTAAATTAAAAACATACAATATATTATATGTAAGTATTATAAACCATATTTGTACAAATAATAATGGATCATACTAAATTAAAAAAATGCAGATGCAAAAAATTAAAAATAAGACAATTATCAACGAAACCAAATATACCAAATATTCAGTAGCAATACTAATCTAAATGGAAAACTTTACTGAAAAAATAACAAAGCGTCTATGAACTCAACTTTTCAAAGATGCCAGATTTAAATTTTACAATATCTGCAAACATAAGATAGAATATAGTATGTATTTGTTTATAAATTTTCAAATTAACGAAATCAACTTGGCATTTACAAATTAACTTCATAAACGTGACACCCACCTAATTTTTAAAAACTGTATATAATATTGACTACCAAATAATGTTTACCTTGAAAACCAAAAGATAGAGTGATTTTTTACTCAAATAGTGAAAACCAAAATACGCATTGCCAACTAACATTTACCTTGAAAAACATTTACATTTACATAGAGAGACCAAATTTATGAACCTTATTTGAAATAAGTATTAAAATATTTTTAAAAACTAATGATAGATACCAAATAATACATAACTAACTTAGGAAACAAGTTATAACAAATTAACACGACACAATTGACAGATTCGATTTCAAAATCAAACTAAAGCACTGAAATTAAACATTGCAAATTATACACTACATAAATAAAAATATAATATAGGAGAATACATCAAATCCTTGGATTTGACAAAGCTAAAAACGTACAATACACCAAATATTTTGTCAACAAAGTATTATCAATTAACCCAAAGTCGAGAAAATTACTTAACACACAAAGCTTGAACATAAAGCCGTTTGAATTTAACAGCCTTCGTCTGATTGGACTTTTGGACTTTCTGTAAAGATGGTGAGGAGGATGTTTTGTCATCCACATGACTACCTTCGCATGTTGATGCAGGGAACTGCGTGATCAACCCAAATGTAGCTATACTCCCTTCAGATTGAGTTTTGCCAAACCTTCCAAAAATCTTCAAAGTTTGTACTTCGCTTGAAGACTGATCTTTTTTGTCCCTCGGTAAATGAGATACAACATTGGACTTAGAAGAATCACTAACATTAATTTTCCTAGCACCAAGGTTAATCACCAACTTCTTTCCCTTCACAGATTTCTCCTCGCCTGCATTCCTTGATATATCCTCGCTATCAGAATCGTGAGGCTTGCTACACTTTATTCTGACTATCCTTGATGGCTTTTCCTCATCAGTCACCATAACATCATCAAGCCTCTTGTGTTTCACAATCCTCGGTTCATGTGTTGAGCAAATTCCAGCTACAGAGGATTGAACATCAGATTGTTCATTTATCTGAAACCCCACACTATATACTCTAGTGACACCTAGCCTGCGTCTCTGAACTTCAGAATCCTGTTCGGGATCTGTCTTGGTGTGATTACCTTTTTTACAAGCATGTTTTTTGTTAAAGGAGTTCTTCCCATGCTCCTTGCTTTTCATTAAGGAATTTTCCACCAAACCTTTGATATAGAGCTTCAAAGAGCGCCCAGGTACGGGACCACTTTTGTCATCATCTGAAAACGGGAATATCGAAAATATTTCTTCCTCGGTTGGCCCTCAAAGTAGCAACTAAGTCTTTGTCCACCACATCTTTTTTCTTCCAAAGTTCTTGAACTGCATCCTGATGATCCTTCACCTGCGAGACAAGATAGAATTCGCAAACCAAGAAAACTTATGTGATTAACACACTAGCAAATTGCACTATTTATAAGAATTAAACGAAACAAGAAGAATGATCTGGGTGACTAAGAAGCGAGGATACTCACAACAGGAACATGCATACCTGATAACACTCCCCACGGCATGTGGCACATTTATATTGTAGGTTTCCATCAACTTGAAACTGAAGATATTTCGCATCACTGCATGACAATTTTCAAACAATTCCAGATTTAATATGCACTTTGCTCTGTATATTTTTAGTTCCCAAATCAAATACACATATGCAATTGCGATAACAATATCTATAACATATAATGATGAAGAACCTTATTCCATCGCAACGGCAATGCACCCATCGTTGACAAATATCGCAGCATACCATTGGTGTTGATTCTGAATCCCTATACACCTATAGAAGATAAGAAACTTGGTTAATGCAACACTACTAAAGAGGCGCAGATTTAATCTAAACTACAAGTTTCGGCCAAGGCCGGCGCGCAGTAAATAATAAAGGCCATGGTAAAAAACACCTTCAAGCATACAGGGCAATAATTTCCCTTCACAAACAATCTGCCACAAGCATCACAGCAAGTATATGACAAAAAACCACCTGTTACAATCAATAAAAAAGAGAGAGAATAACTGATCAGTGCAATTCCCTAACTCCCCAAGCAAAGTGTCTTGTTCGGCTCACTTATAACTAACCAATCCTGCAAAGGACTAAGAATGCATACCTGACACTTAGGCCATTTCCAGGGACAGTTGAATCACAGCTGTGGCATCTTGTATGCTTTGGGCACAGATATGGCCCAGAACTTACATTCTGTGCGGTCCAGATAAAATACATAAGCCAACGTACATTATATTCAAAGATAATTGCATGAACAAGATATCTGTCAAGTACCTTGTGTGGAGGATGTTGGCATAGCAGTGGTAAGCAGCATCACACCTTTTGCAGAACACAAACTTGTTAGGATCTCCTGTTCTATGGCAGACCTGAGGAATATGAAGACTCACAGTGAGGCAAGTTCAAAAACGATAGGCACACACAGTGAGTTTTTATTCACTATAATCTGGACCGTGTCATTTATACACACACACTTGGAAACAAACTCTAACTAACCTCACAAACCCGGCACGAGGGACAAGTCCATGAACTCCAAATTTCCAATGAAATAAATCTGAAACTTAGAGCAATTAGACGAAGAAGCTGAAGCCTAAGCAAGGCAGCAAAAAAAGTCCAATTAGACGAAGGCTTGAACCTTGGCCTTATCTATCTTCTTGACGGCGACATCATGTTCCAATCGCCGTATTGGCCTAGGGAAAAGCTGCCATTGGGAAGAACACGAGTTAGTAGAAGAAGAAGAAGAGGATCGGCGATTGAGATTATGGCTTTGCAATCTGAGCAGCGAGATACTAAGAATTTGGGAAGAACATCTCTGCAAAACTCAGATTCATCCCAAACTAACTCTTGCGGAAATAACAGAAGCATCTACAACCCACGAATTTGTTTTACATATAAAGATCAGACAATATTAAAAAATCACAAAAATATAAAAATAACATCGATGGTCAGGTCAAAACGTACCTTGTGCAAGGCGTCGTGATACAATTTATTCATTGAAGAAGTTACAAAATAAAGGAGAGATCATGTAAACACATCACAACCAATACAAAAATCGTCTGCAGAACACAAACACATAGATACAGAATATGAAAAGTAAATTATAATATACCTTGTTCAAAAAAAAACATACTACGTCACATATCTATCTTTCTCGAAGAAGAAAAAAAACAGAGATACACGTCAAAATTTTGTTGTGTTCAATAAAGATGTGTTGTGTTCATCCTTGTCTGGATCAAAAGGAGAAGAAGAGAGTTTCGATTGGGAAGACGTTGTTTTAGGACTAGCTTTAGTTGGTTATCCTTTATGCATATATTATAAAACAAAAAACCATAAAATCAATGTCATACACCAAATATAACAAAAACAAACAAGCTATAATATACATGAACTAAACTAAACCTACAGAAAGATCTATATGAACAAAACTAAACTTACGGCTGCAAGAAAAATAAAAAGTGGCTAGAACCTAGAGAGGATTACACTATATAGGAAAATATATTTAGGGTTTACACTAAATAATTTAGGGTTTACAAGGAATAATTTTATGGACTACGGCCCAAAATCAAAATCAAAACCAATAACACGAAACCGAGAATTAGATCACGGTTTTCATTAAGGATATAATTGGAAAAATAGATGGCTAAAGTATGGTGAGAGCGAACGTGGGAATGACACGTAGGAAATCTACTTCTCAAATAATAATATAGATCTATTGACATTAATAAGGTTCCCCTTCAGATATGAACAACAGCGACTATCTTGATGAAAAATTTGTGTTAGCAAACATGCCATCGGAGATTGTGGAAACCGGTATGCCAGTAGGTGAAAGTGGTAAAGTGTTACAAGATGAGCTTACTGAGAAAGTGTTTAATCCAACAAAAGTCAAACCCATTTGGGATTTCAAGGGACATTCTGGTTATGCTGTGATTGAATTTACAAAAGGTTTTAATCAAAAAAACTAGGAATGTCCAAATGAGTTATGAAGTAGATTGACACGGGAAGAGAGATTGAGAAAAAGGTAAAGCTTGTTTATGAAATTTTCAGTGTTTTGATTTTAAATCAATTGGTTTTTTGGCAGTGAGTTCTCTTTCTCTGAAAGAAAATATTCACCATAAAGATGGAATGCTTTATGGATGGATTGCAAGAAAAAACGATTATAATCTAAGTGGAATTGTTGGGAAGTTTCTTAAGAAGAAGAGAGACTTAAAAAGTATCTCGGAGCTACAGGAAGTAGACAAAAGATTAACGCTTCACCTTGTTGAAAATATATATTGTGAATATACCTATTTCCTAATCTCTATTAAGATCACATTAGTCTTTGTATATATAAGTCTTAAGGTTTTACATTGTAGTTACACATATATATGTACGTTAATAAATAAATACAATTTCTTCTGCTAAACTCTTTGATATGGTATCAAAGCCTTAGGGTTTTAATATTTTTGTCGTGCTTTTATTTCTTTTCTTATTCTCTTCTTTCTTCCGATTCTCTCAGGTTTGCATTATGCATCTCGTGATTTGTTTTTTTTCTTGATCGACTGGTGAACAGCAAGTTTTTGGTTTTATCATCATCATGAGTAATAATGGTGTTATTGGTACTGTCTCTCAGACATCGCATCCAGAGGTTGGTCGAGATGTAACTATATTACAATTTGTCATCAAGTGCTGATCCTGGTCAGTTAATTTGTACTGTTCTTCTCATTGGTCATAATTATGAAAGATGGGCAAAATATATGTATAATTCTCTCAAGGTGAAGAAAAAACTAGGTTTCATCAATGGTCTTGTCACAAGACTGGTGTCAGGTGCGAATGAAATCAAACTTTGGGATAGTGTCAACTCAATGCTTGTGGCATGGATCCTCAATACGATTGACCCGAAGCTTCACTCCTCTATTTCCTGTGCTGATTCTGCTTTTAAGCTTTGGAAAGATTTGTGTACTTGCTTCTCTGTTGGCAACGAACCGCGAGGTTACAAACTTAAGGCGAGTGCTGCAAATTTCAAACATGAGGTATATTATGTTCAATATTATTTTAGTTGTTTGAAACTTCTATGGGACGATCTTAATGATTTTGAACCGCTTCCCAATTGCTGTTGTGGTCAAGTCAAGTGTGTGTCAGCTCGGAAACATGTTGAGATTCATGACAAAGAACGCAAATATCAATTTCGGATGGGCTTAGACAATGTTCGTTTTGGCTCTACACAATCAAATATTCTATGTATGATGCCTCAACTCTTGAAACTTGAAAGTGCTTTCTTGATGGTTCGTCAAGAAGAGCGTTGATGTAGGAGTTTACTCTACTTCAAATCCTACATATACTTATATCATTGTAGTATGTAGGTATCAATCTATAATGGGAAGGTAAGACACTAAAAATACAGTAGATCATCTAATTCAAGCAAGCATAAATGGGTGATTGAAACTATGAAACTAATGACAAAGAGAGACTTCAAATAAGCAAGAGCAAGTGAAATAAACAGAGAAACTAAGGCAAGTTCGAATTCAAACAATCAAGAACTAGTAGGCTTGAGATAAGGTAACTGATCTAGGGAGACTTTCAGTTTAACTAGTGATACTTACAAACCCACAAAAAGCTATTCCTAGGCATAGAATTAACAGCTATAACTAGCTCAATTCCTTGACACTAGCTACTTTGCTAAGCACATAATCAAGATAAATTCATTTACTCAAATACATGATCAGCAAGCATTATAAGCATTAATCCAATTCTATATTGCCAATCTACTCCTTAGACAGCTAATTCCTTAGGCTAAGATAAGCAAATGTCTTACTTGACTCATTCAGACATTTCATCAAACACTTATCAGGTATAAGAGAACCATAGGATCTAGATCAACTTAGCAAGGGCTAATCTAGCATTAAACACAATCAATAAGAAGGAATAATCATATTAAGCACTAAGCAATCACTAATACAATCTTAAATCTCCCTATCTCTATCCCATCTCAAATTCTAAGATAACTACTCACTAATCATGATCTTAATCATAGCCCAAAGCAAAGGAGAATGACAAATCATAATTAGAAAGGAGATAAACACCAACTTTGATTGAAAGAACAAGATTCAACAAGAGATTACAAGAAAAACTAAGAGAGATACAAGGGGGAAAACTATTATCCAAAGGGTAAAGGATGATAAGATCCTCCTTATGTTTTTAGGTCGCAACCTATATATAGTTTTCAGGAAAAACCCTTCATAAACTGGATATAAACCGGAAAGCAGCTGGTTCGGACGCCTGATATCGACTTGTTAGCTCGATACTCTGGTCGATATTGGTTGGCAGGAGAGTGTATCCACCAAGTCAAGTCGATACTCTCGTCGATACAGTCGCCCCTGGCTAAGGCATCTCAGATGATCTCCTCAGTATGCTACTCGATACAATCGCCCTTTAGTTAAGGCTCATCGAGCTCCAATGTCGATACAGTGATTGATACACTTCTTGGCTTGTGTATCGAGATAATCCTATGTCGATATGCTGACCGGTACAAGAGCCTCGAAGGTGGTGTATCGACCAGGATAGCTCGATACTCTTTTGGTGTCCTGTCTCCTTGTATCGACTCTGGGACTTCGATGTGCTAATCGATATAGTTTCTCAGCATGTATCGATGTGTGATGTCGATACGTTGTTCTGTACGTTGTGTATCGATCTGCCAAGTCGATATCCTGCTCGTTATGAAGCCTTCTCGCCTTGGTTCCTTCACCCAGCTTTTCCTTTCGTCCCCAAACTCCCAAAATGCACCTGCCAAGTGCTAGGAATGCACTTAATATGCAATGCAACTCCTAATTATACTCTAGATGCTAAGTGGATGCAATTTGGACAAGAACATGTACAAATGCATGCTTGAAGACTATAAAACAATGCAAAATGTAAGCTAATATGGTGTAAATATGAGTAAATCAACACCCCCACACTTGCCTTTTGCTTGTCCTCAAGCAAAAAAGAACAAATGAGAGAATAATATTTGAAAGTGGGAGCTCAAAACCAAAGATGTCAATGGAAAAACTGATTCAATGCCCAAGTTATAGGTTCTAAGATGCATAGATATTGTTCTACTTCAAAAGCTTTAGTCATACCTATCATAACAAACAGTGAACTCTAGTTTAGCCTACACAAGCATTCAAATCAACCAACTCTTTAACATTTATTAATCAGTAACCAATAGATCATGTTTGTGCAAATCAAGAGAAAACATTTGGTCAAGGGTCATGGTTATGAGATGAAAATGATCTCATTCAAATAAGGGTTCAAAGATTCAGGGGATCACTCATTGAAATGATTATATCTTAGGCAAAATGCTAAAGGTAAAAGCACACCTATGCATGCAAGTCAAAGCTCTCATCTACCCTTTTTTACCTAAGATGAACCTAATAACTTCTAAAACCCCAAGTGAAACTCCTAAATCTACCCTTTCCCAAAACACTTGATCTCTTCCTTCTTCATATTTGGGGAAACTCCTTCTTCTTTTGTTTGTGTGGTTGACTTCTTTTTGGAACTTGCTCTTCTTTGTTGTATGATTGACGCCATTTTCATCACATTTGGTGGATTGCTTGGTATGATTTCTCCTTTTGGATGACGTTTTGTAAGCTTTGTTGTTGTTGGCACCTTTCTTCTTTAACACTTAGAGCTTTCTTCCTAATTAACTTAACCACAAAATAAACTGTTCCCCCATACTACCAACCCCATACTTCTTCTTCTTCTCAAAAGATGTAAACATTTAAAGCTCAAACCACTTACACTACCCTTTCCCAAACTCCTAACCTAATACCAAGCTCAAAATGCAAGCTGATGTCTACAAGAGAGCTTCTCCTTTCCAGCCTTATTCCTAACACTGTTTGCCAAGATAAAATCGAAAATGATGCAATGCAAGGCCTCACAACTCTCACAATAGTGTTTAGGTTTAGAAAGAAGGATTGGTTTAGGGTGTGGTTAAATGTCCCATAATGATGAGGATCAGCTACTTGGATTAACAAGAGTGGTAAGAAGGGAAGAATATAATCCAAGTATGTATATGGGTAGCCATTTAATCACTCTCAATGCACAAACAAGATAATTCAAAGTCAAGATTCTGGTTCTAATAAGATAGAGTTGAAAATCAAATCAAAGAAAGCTTGAGCATGAGACAAGAATATCGATGCAAGAATTCAAGATATGGTGCAGCCTTAACTTCAAACTCACTACAATGCAATCAAACAACAGATAACCAAGGCATTGAAAACCACTCAAACATTAACATCTTGACAAGTGTTTATCATCTACTCCCTATGCAAATGTGTGCAAACCTATATGAAATGCATTTAGACTCAATTTTAGTTATGTAAATGCAACTAAATGATCTTTTTGGTTCCAAAAGATTTGAAAATTTTATGGATTTTTAGTGCATATGGATGAATGCATGGGACTCAAGTATGTAAAAGAGAAAATAAGAAAACAAAACATAAAGTCAAATGCAATATCCTCCCCCACACTTAAATTACACAGTCCCCTGTGTAATAGAAGTCTTAGAGGAGGTTTAAACAACTATAAATGATGAATGGACAAAGGGCAGGGCAAAAGAAGTAAAGGAGGAAGAGTTAGGGAGACTTACAGCTATTTCATGACTGATATCGGGATGCATGACCGATACACTGGTCGATATGCTCCATGTATGGCGGGTATCGGGGTGGGACATCGATATGCTGGTTGATATTGGTCTAGCTGGTCCGCATCGATCTGAGTATCGGTGTAGATGTCGGTATGCCTTGATGCGTGACTTAGGGATCGTTGTCGCCCTTTTTGTTAAGGCACATCGACTTTGTTCCCCTCGATATACTCGTGCTCCCTGTGTACCGGTGTCGTGTAGGTTAATACATCGCATCTCTGCTCCGTATCGGTTTGTATGTTGTCCGGTACTCCCATGTATCGACTTTGGCTTGATCGGTACATGGGTCGATACGCATGTCGTCGGGCTGTATCAGGATGAGTATATCGGTATTCGGGTCGATACAGGATCCTCTCTTATGTATCGACCTCCAGCCTGATCCGATACCTTGGTCGATACAGGTGGAAAGCACACTATATCGATCAAGTGGTACCGATACGCGCATGGATACAAGCCATATCGACTTGATCTCATCGATATACTGTTCGATATTCCACCCTTCGAGTCTTTCCTCCTTTGTAACTCAGCTGTTCGTTCATGACCTCATTCCAGATGCTTAAGGATGCTTCCTGGATACTAGGGCAAAAAAGAAAAACATGAAAAAGTAAATAGT